AAATTATCAGCATAACTGGTTTCATTAGTGCCTAATACAGAGCATGCAGACTGTGGGCAGATTCACCAACCTTTTTCCTTCTCTTAATTATTGAAAGGACACTGCTTTTATCTGGAGCGGCTAAGCTAAAGGAGGCAGTTTGGGTTTTATGCTACATACTTGAAAGAAAAAAATATTAGAAATTAGTCCTGGCCCTTGAGAGCTTTCATTATCAAGTGAGGACAAGCACACATTTCAAGGAACGGCTTTCTGTCAGAATGTACAATTTCGTTAAAATTGGAAACATTTCATAGAAACATGCCTATACTGACAGAGTTACTTTATTAGTCAAAATGTTTTGTTAGAGAGTTCTCGTTTCAATCTGAGACTGTTCGGACATTTGATTGCACTGGATGAAATAATTCTGTTTTAGCATTTATGATCCATTCATTTCAGTACTTATGAGACTACTGATTTATTTAGTTGGGAAAAGCACATCTGTTTTCTTTTCTTTTTTTTTTTCCCCTTATCTGTTTAAAGTGATGAACTTATTTCACAAGCAGAGCAGAAAAACCCATCTAACTCTAACCAGTCCCTGCAACAAAAACGCTCAGCCTGCAGAGAATGCCAGCTAATGGACCACAGAATCACAGGGGCTAGAAGCAATCTCTGGTGACAATCCAGTCTCAGCCTTTCCTCTTGAGGGAGATGCTCCACAATCATCCCTGCAGCCCTCCAGCAGTTCCCTGTCTGCCCTGAACTGGAGAGTCCAGGACTGGACCCAGTACTCCAGATGCAGCCTCAACAGGGCAGAGCAGAAGGGAGGATCACCTCCCTCAACCTGCTGGCCCTGCTCTTCATAATGGACCCAAAGTCCCATTGGCTTCCTTGGCTACAAAGGAACAGTGCTAACTCATGGCCAATCTGTTGGCGCCCAGGACACCCAGGTCCTTCTCTGCTGAGCTCCTCTCCAGCAGCTCAGCCCCCAGCCATTACTGATGCATGCTGTTATTCCTCCCCAGGTCTATGACCCTACATTTGCCGTTACTGAACCACATCAGGCTCCTCCCTGCCCAACTCTCTGCCTGCCCAGGTTCATAGGTCTTGGGGATAACAGGAGAACTTAGTTCAGTGTGTGGTGTGCTGGGTCCAGAATCAAACAATGAGGAGTATTATACAAACAGGACAAAGTAGAGTCAACATCTCCACCTTTTCCCTTCTTAGCAGTAGAGAGCATCTCAACTTCACCTGCTAAAACACCAATTACCGCCAACAAAACAGAATAGAGAATATTTTAGCCTACTGTCAGTCTGCGGGGACAGCCGAGCTGCAATGGCATTTCAGGTTTTCTGGAGATGTACCCACTGCTTCCTGTGACTGCTTTACCTCAAATCAGAAAACATGCTAGTACGTTTTAAGTACGTTAGTGTTTTATGATTTTAAACGTGGTTTACATCACTTAGAACCTCAATGCTCTGTTGTTTTGTCTACCAAGAAACATCCTTAGCATTAAAAGCCCTCAGTGTCTTCTTGCACCACTGAGGAGTGTGACCAGGATGATGCTGAACATGGCAATAACAGGCAGCACTAGATTTATTAGAAAGAGAATTAACAAAGGAATATTGCAAGAAAAGGCACAAGCAGCTCATATTTCTCAATGGCAATATCTTCCTCCCCCAGCACAAACATGAGGAGAAAAAGGACTTTCTGTTATGCTTTTAAACAGTGTAACAGCAAAGTACTGCTGGTTCAGAGAGGAAAGCAAGGCTGGGGCAACTGAAAGAAACAAGATAGGACAGTAATGGATAAGCTATAAGGATACTAATAGGAATGCTGAAGCAACCTGCATTTCTTACTCAGGCTGCACTGCATTCCCCTACCAAGGCCATGCTTTCTGTTTTAGATGGGAACACACAACAACAGTAGAAGTAGACTCTTCCTGAGGTTTCTGGTTCTTCATTCCACACCACTCTCACCACAGATACAAACTCATAACTCTATACAGTAAACCAAGTCACAAACCCAAGCATAAAAAAATGTTTGTGACTAAAATCACCAAAAGTGAGAAGAGGAGAAAGATGACAACAGGTCCACCGTTGGCCCACCAGGATGGCTGGGCATTGCAGTCACACCTCTGTCATGCAAAGAAGTCACATCCTATCCATGTGCCTGTTTCCAGTGCCAGACAGCTCCATAAAGCTAGACATACCCACTACTTGCCTTAGACATGTGCCACTATTAATCCTTGGTATCAGAATACCAAGCACTAATGAAAATGAAAGGACACAACTTCTTCCACTATCAGCCTTAAAACTTGAGAAACATTCTTTTGCAGGAAGCCAGCAGTAATCTCTGCATGATTAAGAGCTGTGGATATTTAGCCCACACACAAGGAATTAATTATCCACAGCTATAGCCACGAGCTGTGCATCCTTCAACTTGCTAAACGCTCACCAAAATTTTAACGATGATTTTTTCATTATACCATTTTCCCCTCTTCCCCCCGCGCCTTGCAGAGATATTATTGTTGGAGGATGTCATCAGTGCTGTTTCAGATCTGTCAGATATAATCTTCTAATCTGCCAACTTTTCACAAGGAGGAGATGAGCTCATGTACTGACTGACAAGATGTGCTGAAAAGTCTGGGCTTTCTCGAAGACTGTTAAAAGTTTAAGTTCCCCTATTGTGTGAATACCGTCAAACTTGGCCCTGCAATTTTCATAATGACAGCTGCTGTCAGTTTAAAAGGGTAAATTATTCAGTTCAACTGGGAATGCTGACAGTAACTGTAAAAAGGGCCTTAGCATTGTAGAAAAAGAAGAAGGTTCCAGGTATCTAAGGAAAGATGTAGTAAACTCACCAAGACACTTTAGGAATGCTCAACTCCAGCTCATTTCCAGCCTCTCTTCAAAAACCTGCAGAACTCTTCACTTTGGCAAGAAGATAATGACATCATATTAAACTACATCTGTAATAAAGCTTAGGGGGCCTAGTCGAGGTTACAAGGTGCCTGTCATTATGCACCTTTAGACTACTTACAAGGACACAGTGCAACACATCTGCTCCAGCACCTACATATGGGTGATCTGAAGCCATTGGAGGTATTTTTGGAGTCATTTGAAAAGCACCATTAGGTACCTACCTATAATTTTGGAACCCTGTTTCCACTACATCCTGTTACGAAGGAAATTTGCCGCATATACTCCACCATTTCCTACCCTCTGCCCCCCAGCAGAGCTAAAAGCCCACCTATGCAAAGCACGTTTTCTCATCAGTCCACTTCAGAGTTAGTGAGAAAAATAAAACGCAACCTCACCGCTCTTCTTGCTTGAATGAAAATGAAGGAAACAAAGAGAACAACATGACTTGTCAGCATTGCAGTGAGCCTCATTTCTGCTTTGCAAATGCCTACTATTCCCACTGAAGGCTTTCCACCCGCACTTCCCCCTCATTGTGCAGGTACAAAGGATGACAAGCAGAGCAAAGAGTGGAGGACTTGGTCTTCACAACGTGATACTGTATCTGAAGCTTCCTTCTGGAAAAGGTGAACATGGAAGAGGGTTTTAACTACTGCATGATTCTAATGGTAGAATCATTAGGGTTGGAAAAAGTCCTCTAAGGTCATTCAATTCAACCATTCAACTGTGCTAGGAGACACTGCAATGCTCCAAGCCTGAAGTTTGGTTTGTAAGTACATTTCACATGGGAAGTGTTTTTTTCATACCAGATGCACTGTATTTCCAATATGCTGTTAATATCTTTGTGGTTCCAAGCAATGAAAACAAAAGTGATTGAAACAAGGGGGATTTGATTCTTTGAAAAACTGGGGTTTGTTTGAACTGAAATGCATTAAATCACTATGGAACGAGACAAAATATCATTACTATCTACTATCTAAACCCATTATAACTTGCACCATCTATTCTCAATTGCACTAGACACTGTGGTAGCTGCACATGAGCTATCACAAATATTAAATTAACTATGAAGTGATACAATCTCCCTCAGCAATCATAGTCATCATCTTTCCACTCTCTAAAGAAAGAAGTGTTACCAGCTCTACTTTTTTTTTTTTTAAACACTAATTCTGGTAATTGCTCCAGAGTTCAGAGCACCCCTGCTCACCTGCTTTCCTGCTAATTCCATACTCCATTCTCCATACCTCAGCAGACACAGCTACCTAATTGGAAAGAGGATTTCAGCCTTTATAAGAATATAAACCCTATGCTTTGCACATACTTGCTGAAGTAGATACTCATTCCTCGTTTGCCAAGGGGGTACAAGAGGCCAATCAATGCTTCAGCACTTGGGGCTAAGGAGAGGCTGAGTATTCACAGACTTATGTAGGTTCATCTCATGTCTCCCTCCCAACAACCATATTTTAAAGTTTGATGCTACAACTGTTGATATACTCAGAGAGCTATGTGGAGTCAACTCCAGAAAAAATGCATCACCCAATCTGTAAAAGCAAAACGGTTGGTGAATATCCTCAAAGTTGTCTGCAGCCTTTTTCTATAGCCCAGGTCAAGTGAGCACTCACTCTGTGGAGAGATTTGTTACAAGCTATTAGCCATTCCCTTAAGATACCTTCAGCACATTCTCTTTCTGCAACTAGAACTCTCATAAATCTTCAAAAAAATGATCCTGAGTTCAGAAAACTTTCAGAGCTGGCCTAAATTTAAGTTTTGTTTCTCCCTATAGCTATTGCTGAACAGATCATAATTTACCAAGAACATCACACAGTCACAGCACAATGCCCAGCACAGTCCAAAACCCAGAATGCTCCATCACTTCCTCCACATTCTTACCAAACAATGACAACAGTTTCCCTTGGTACCTCACAGCACCACTGATATTCAAGAACTAATGATGCTGGTGAGATTGAACTGATGAGGAACACGGTTTAGTGGAAATATTGGTGATATATGCATATTAGACTGGATAGCTGGCGTTACCAATTGTAGGGAAAGATGACAGCAGATAACCAGTTCAAAATTACTCAAAAAAAGAGACCTGCTTACCTGTCTTAAGGACCAAGGCTTGCAGAACAGCCCAAAAAGGAAGGATCTCAGGTAGGGAGCTTTCCCTTAAGGCAGACAGCCCTTAAATGAGGCTTGGGGAGGGGTAGAACCTAGCTCCACCTCTTCCAGTCACACAGGTGAATTGGTTTCACCTGTGCTCCCAGGGCTGGCTGTGTTCCTTTACGAGTGCTCAATCGTTGGTTCAAGCCATGACTTAGCAATTCCCACACACCAGCTGTAAGAGTAATGCATGTACTTAAAGGTCTTTTCCAACCTTGGTGATTCTGTTTCACATAGTTTCCACATTATCTTTAAGACTGATGCTTATAAATAAAGCAGCGCTTCACCCACAATGTAATTTTTAGCAAGTCAATCACGTCTCCTCTTTATCACTTCATAATGTGCTCTCTTAGTGGTCACTTGACAGATATATTTAAACCTACCACAAACATATATACAAACATGCATATGCTACAGGATGCACGAGGCCATTCAAACAGCCCCTGAACACCAAAGCAGAAAATAAAGTTACTGCCATTAACCATCTGTCTTAGAGGCAGCCCTTAGGCAGCATCCCTGTTGCAAACAGGAGCTGTGTTCAATGTACCTGAACTAAGGTAGCAGTGTTGTAAAGGGACAGCCTGTACGTGCTTATTGGCACCCACTGGCATCTCAGAAGCTCTCCCATTGGTGACAGCATGACCTCACTGCCACTGCTGTGTCAGCTACATTGGAGAGATTCCCCCCAGAGATGCAACTAGGCTTCAGTGCTGTTCAGTTGTCTATTCCTGATCTTCCAAGGAATGCATTAAAATGGAATATGTATTAAAAACAGGGAATATGCTTTCCCCTAACATGGGAGAAGCTTCTGCCAAATCACAGCCAAGTATAGTAGCGTAAGTTTTGAGACTTGTATCTCTTGAGCAATGGTGCCCTAAAACCATGTAACAATGTATCTGAAGCCCTAAACCAGACCCCAGAGACTGGAGGAAGGAAAAGGACTCGAATGAAGAAAAAACAGGGAGAGGAAGGGACAATCACAAACAGCCAAACCAAACTAAAAGAACCAGATGATGCTTCTTATTCTTGCAGTTCAGTGGCTGTGAGTTTTATTCAGATGATTAGTCAGTTTCTAAACAGCTTACGAGATTGATCTCTGGCTAGGATTAGAATAAGGCTTTTAGTATTTTATCTCAGCACAGTGCACATTTTTAGTAGAAAGCTTCCCCTTCTGGACCCCGCTGTTGTATCATTAGGAACAATCCTGTTCCCTTTCTTCTTTCACAGTCCTTCAGACGCTCCTTATGGATGATCAGATGACAGTGCTACTACAGCAGCAGCTTGTGTAGTAACGCTAGGAAAGTGTTTAAAATGAGTAGGGTTCTATGTATGCAGTCTAGCTGCTGGGAATAAGGAGGAGGAGCTGATCTCACAGGAACAGCTCTCCACAAGCCACCTACAAATCATAATTTAGGAAGCTCCGTGTTATACAGAGTACAGAAAGGGTGATGCTTGCATTTCATCCATATGGATAATGCTACATAGGGACCATGACACCAATGGCGGTCTTCTGTATTAGAGACAGCTAGAGACTGCCAACATCATCCATGATGGATGCATTCTGAACAAAGCAAAGGTTAAAGGATCTTTCAAGAAAGCATTATTATTGCTAATCATTTTGCAGTATCATTATAGATGAGAACAAGTAATTCTGAGCAGAGAAAACCACATAAAAAAGTGCTCTATGCACATGGTGCTGCTTCAGATGATTGAAAAATTGATGGAAGATGAAAACTTCCCTACTGAGAAAATGAGAAGGAAACAAGTGCTAGTTTTGCAAAAACAATTCCCTTTGTCCCAGACACACCACTAGCTGCACTTTACAGCAGATTTCAAGAAGTCACTGCCCTTCTCCAGTGCTCCTAATCTGCTATTTTCTGAACATGAGTAAATCTTATTTTCACAGAGCATCCATCTCCCTTCTGGTGCTCCATTAAGAGGAAAACAAAAACCCATTATGAGGACACACACCGCAAATGGAGAAGAAACGCTGCAGTAGGCATGCAGGACCGGCGATGTGCATCACATCTCTTCAATCACAAGGTCTTCTTTTAATTTCCCCCATGCAGAGATTTGGCTCCTCCACTCTATCTCTGGGTGTATCTACGTATGATCAGCTTGCCCTCAGTGCTGCTTTTTCCGTTTTTGCAATATAATCTCAATAATGAGGTCACTGAGATCATCGGGTTTTAGATATAGCCTCCTGGAGCAGTTCTACAAACTGGGCTACAGCACATTAGTTACTCCAGCGTGGAACTGATGCTTTATCTCTTTTTTATTTTTGGTATTGTTTCCTTTAATGCTTTTAAACACTGCAATAACATCTGTTGGTTCAGTATCCATCTGGCTATATACATCATTTCAGTGTTTCACAGCAAATAATTTCATTTCAATGCAACTTTGAAGGTGTCTTCAGCACCATTTTAGTCCCATTTCTATCCAATTGGAAGCATAAAATAAATAGTCCTGTTTTCATGTGACACCCAGCACGTTACACAGAGAGACATCAAACATTAAAAGCTCCAAAGCAAGGATAGGCAGATCCTTCCAAGAAGTTTCCAACTCTACCAGTTGGATCACAGGACAAAAACGTAGTGAACCACACTTAAAATCTGACAGACTACAAGAATAGTCTTAGGCAAATTATGTGTTTTTTCCCCCTGCATTTCCTAAGTGTCCAAATTTATTTTATTAGCACCTAAATTTCAGCACTTAACTGGAAATCATTGACGCTGAGCACTGAGCATTGACCACTGAGTGTTTACAAGACTGCTTACTTTCAGCTGGCAATGAAATGACAGCTAATGCTACAGGTACATCATTTCAGCATTCTTGCTTCTTGTACTGCTAAACTATGAACAAATTCATGTAGACTTATAATCAGCTAACGAATAAATCCAAACCCCATTGTAATGACAGCCTCTAACTCATCGTGGGCACATCTCCTCCTGGGAGTAGTTGAAATAGACTGTGAGACTGATAAACCATTAAAATTCTTAATTTTCTTTGTTCTCAATCTATTGTTGCCACAGGTTATGTATAGTGCAATAACCGCAGCACTAATAAGCATATGCTGTAGAAATACAATTTAAGTTTAGAATTCAGAGTCTGTAAAACTAAAAAATGCTATGAAACAGATTACAGAAGGACGAGATTTGGATTCCTTGGTTCAATTACTGACCATCATGTGTGCTGATTATTTCAGATAGAGTCAGATTTGCAAAAACATTTAGTTTTGACTTTCATCTGCTCTAATTCAAGTCACTGAGAATGCTAATTGCTGACTCTAGTCAAAGAACTGGATCAACAGAGTGGGATTTTGGAAATCCCACATTCAATATATTCACAATCATGCCTTGCCATCTTACGGAGGTGCTGAGAACATTTAATTAAAGCTGATACACCACTGAGGTCCCAGTTGTGAAAGCAGACTGATGCAAAAATTTATTAATTAAAGGCCTTCTATTCAGATAGCTTTCAAAAACTAGAGGACAACAAACAAAAAGTTGCAAAAAATCACTTTTAGAATCAAAATTTATCTGTTAACTACTAGAAAGTTCTTTAGTAGTACTCATTTTCTCCATTTCTTTTTGTTGTCTTTCTAAGATATAATCAACTATCAAATTCTTACTTTAATACTGATAAACACTTTGTAAAAGATCTATGAACAGTCAAAGAAAGGAACCAACAAGAAAGGAATAACTTTGTATGAAATGGTTTAAGAAGAGATAAATTTTCAATCAATTTTTTTTTCAATAGCAGCTAGCATGATCTGAGTTTGATGACAGTGGTCAGATTCACTGCAGTGCGTCAAATCTGTGTGTCCCTTGAGAAATGTGGAGTCTTCCATGCATGCCAAAAAAGGCTCTGTACACAGGCACCAAAAGGAAAACTTCAAAGCCATCTACTGATTTCAAATGTGGTTGTTTTTTTTTTGAGGTATCACACTTTAAACACTTCAGTATTTCTGAAATAATGACACACATTATCATGACTAACACTAGAAACAGAATTCCTTCCGCTTTAGGGCACTGCAAGGACTTTTACAAAGGAGTTGTTTGAATTTTTTGGTAAATACCTGTCCTTTTGTATTTCATATACAGAAACAGAATAGAAATGATTCATCTGGCGGAGTTCACCAGCAAGAAAAAAAAAAATCCCAGTTGATACTCTGTGTCACGCTATTATAGAACAGTTGATTTGCAACGCTGAATATATTTGTGCAGGTGCGCAAGGTTTTGCAAACTATCTGCTGAAGCACTCTTATGGTCCGAGTGTCACAGTGATAAGTACTATAGAAAGTAAATAAATATTTATAAAGACACTAAGATAAGACCGACAGACATGAGATCAACTTCTGATGCTGCAGGAAGCCCATGGCTGCTGTGGTAGACACTCCTAAATAAGGATGGGATGAAGGGCATAACTAATTTCCATGTATACCCATAGGCATGTGCATGCTTCTTCCAATCTCTGTTCCTGCTGATGCACTCGATTTTTTTGGTGGCCCTGGGGCCACACAGAAGCAGTAGGGCCTTGTGTACTGCAGCTGTGGTCGTGTTGCCTTGTAGAATTACAGAATTGTAGAAACATAGGATGACTTGGGTTGGAAGGGACCACAAGGATCATGAAATTCCAACGCCCTGCCACAGGAAGGGTTGCCAGATCTAGATCAAGTACTAGATCAGATTGCCTGGAGCCCCATCCAACCTGGCTCTAAATACCTCCAGTGTTGAGGCATCCACAGCCTCTCTGGGCAGCCTGTTCCAGCATCTCACTGCTCTCTCAGTACAAAACTTTCCCCTGACATCTAATCTAAATCTCCCTTCCTTTAGTTTAAAACCATTCCCCTTTATCTTATCACTATCTACCCATGTCAGAAATTGTTTTTCTTTCCTAAACTCACTTTAAATATTGGAAGGCTGCAATGAGGTCTCCCCCCAGCTTTGTCTTTTCCAGGCTGATCTAGTCCAGTTCCTTCAG